TTATATAGAATGAATATTCTAAAAGAAATAGAATCAAGAGTTCTTTTTGTCTCTTTTTCTTAGTGATTTAGGTGATTTAGAACAGAGCAAATAGCACTAGTGCTCTCTGACTCTCTCTGCTTCGTCTCTCACTAAGCAAATATAGCAACACTGTCCTGCAAATGGCAAGAAATTTTCAAATTAAAAGGGCCATCACCATGATCTTTTCCTCTTATCTAAATATTAATTATATCATTTATCTTAATTTTATTATTATTATTATTATCAATTAATCATAACAGTGAAAAAAATAAATAGAGTTGTAACTAACATTTTTTAAAATGACTAACTTATTATTAAAATTTTATATTTATATTAAAACTTATTTTAATGGGTTTAAACTTTTCTACAGTAAAAAATACTTTTTTTTCATACAATATATCTGTGAAAAATTAATAAATTATTTTTAAAAAATACATTATTTTTCATGTAGTATATTTTTGAAAAAATGAAGAAATTACTTAAACTGTTTTTAAAAAAAATTTACTTAAATTTTTTATTTAAACAATTAATTTTGATAATTAAAGATAAATTTATGCAAATTTAATGAAAAATATGTCATCAAAATAGTAAGAAAAAAATAGTTGGACGTTTTACAAAAAAATGTGATATTTTATAGAGCAATATAATATGTACAAAATATAGTTTAATGGAGGTTTGCTTTTATTTTTCGGGTAAATTTGGACAGTAATTTATACAAGCACAAACATATTAAACTTTAATTTCAAGAACATGTCCTAAGGATATGTTTGCTTTTACTCGTTGAAAAAAAAAGCGCACACACGCACAAACCTGACTGCATTCGAGGAGAATTAAACGGGTAAGTCATGTACTTCCATCAATCTGCTTCCCATGACCTTGCTGAATATGACACATAAAAAATTCCGTTCATGGTCTTTTTCCAAAGCACTTGGGAAGTATGAGCTACGAGAAGAAACATGCATATGGATGTCAAAAAACATGCTTAGTGGGTGTGTGTCAAATGGGTTCATTATTTTACCTTCATATTTCACAGCAAGCAGGGCAATTAGTGTTGGAATGAGATATTTGAAGATGGCGGCATGGTGGGAATAAATTGGACACTTGCTTATCACTACACATTTATTACGGTGAAAACTAAATCAGGTTAAATTACAAAATATCACATATCTAACCAAAAAAAAGAACGTAGTGACAACATGACATCATGAACTAATAAAATCTTGAGATGTAGCCAACACCACTATTTTTTTTTTTTTTTTTGGCAGGCAGGTAAATGTTTTGTAATCTAAACCAATTCAATTTTTACTATAATGAATGTATATTGATCAGCAAGGGTTCAATTTATCCCCACCATGCCATGTCATCTTCAAATACCTCATTCTGCCTCTAATTGCCCTCTTCACCGTGAAATATCACGGTAAAGCAATAAACCAAATTACACACCCACTAAGATTTAAGGAGTTCGTCTTTAATTTAATTTTAAATAATTTTACCTCTTTTAAAAAATAATTGAACTCGTAGTTCACGCCACATGAGCATCCTGCATCTGTATTAAGTAGCGAAGAATATTTGTCATACTTACCCATGGAAATGGTGGAAAAAAAGCTAAATGCGAGCTTAGTTATTATTGCTAAGAAATAAATCAAAGACCAAGCTATGTCATAAAAGAACAGAATTCACAGATGAATTTTACCATTCTTACTCGTGTATATATATATACACAACTAACTTTGACAACTCATTTGAATCCTAGGGGTAACAACAAGAATGGTTTTCCAAGTTGGGAGAAGAAAAATTGGCCAAACTAAGACAAAGACCAACCCAATCCAGAGAGTGTGACAGTCAATACAACAAACATGCATTATTATTATTATTTACTTCTTTTAATGGTATACAACAAACAGTGCTACAAACATGGTGTAGAACTGTAGAAGGTCATCCCAAGAGAATTAAACCATTGAATATTGAGTTTTCATGGCTCGGCCTCCAATCATTTTCACCACATAAAGAAGTGTATTCATGGTCTTTTTCCAGAGGACTCGGTATGTATGAGCTAAGAGGCAACATCCCATCAAAATGGCCCAAATCAAGAATAAGAGTCATCCCAACCCAGTGTGAGAGAAAAACAGTTACGAGTGATACTAAAGAAAGAGTTCCGAAAGTGAGCATGACATAGCCAAGAATTGAGAATAGCCTCTCGCTCTTGCCCATTCATGACCTTGCCTTTCCTTCATAAATCCCAGTGCCAGGCAATAGATGCACGTAGGGGTGAAGAAAACCCCACATGTTTAATGGATGAGTGTCAAATGGAATCGTTGTTTTACCTTGATATTTCATGACAAGCACGCCAATCACGGGTGGAATGAAATATTTGAAGACATCACAGTACTGTGGACAAAATTTAAACCCTTGCTCATCACTGCAACATTCGTTACAATGAAAATTGAATTAGTTTACAACTTTAGATTACCAAAAATTCCACCACACTAGCAAACAAAGAGCATATATAGTTACAAAAAAATATGTCGCTTTAGAAGTAATTAAAGCTTTAGGGTGTTTTCGGTATTAGACTTCTTTCTTAGTCACTGATGGGAAGCGTTGTTTAATGCTAGTCTCCTAATGCTAATGGGGGTGTCGCTCTCACACGGTCTCCCAAAGCTAAGCTATGTGTTTGGATGACAAGGGTAGCTAGCTATATATTTAGTCACACATTTTTCCTTATTTTTTCAATGTAGGTAAACTATTTTTATCTCATTAAATCATGATCAAATATTTTGTATAAATGGTATAAGACTTCTTACTCTTTTAGATTTGTTAAAATACAATTTCTTTGTCAATCTTTCTCAAAATGGGGTATTTGCGATGGATGATGGTGATTACTGGTGATGGCATTCTATATATAAATGGTACCATAAGACTTCTTAATCTCTGAAGTTGGGATGGAATGGTGGTCATTACATGGGATGGTAGATTTGTTAGGATGATGCTTTGTTTAATACCGCCCGTCCCAAAGCTAAGCTTGTTTAATAGGATTGTAGATTGGATGATGGCGATGGCATTCAAATGCTTTGTTTAATATTTAGACATTTTTAGCTGCAAAGGTAAGCCAATTTTTCATTTAAACTTATAAAGTTTTGAGTAAATATACTACGTTCATTTATTTTCATGAAGAATTCATTTTATAATAAACCCACCTTAAAATATCAGCGAGACCAACTCTATTTTAGATCGAAGTTTGCTTGATTTCAATGATAAATTATTAAGGAAAAAATATGTGTGTGTGTGTGTGTGTCTGTGTGTGTTTTTGTTTTAGGTAACATCTCCAAGCAAACAATTGTTATAAAATATAGCTTACACACATTAAAAAAATATATATATATATATATATTACACACCAAATTACAAATTTTGCATAGCAATATTAGATGATTATTCCACGGATTGGTTTATATTGCAAAATTGAGAACTGATTTTTTAATCTGTTTAATGATATATATATATATATATATATATATATATATATAATTTATTTTTATTAATAATACTCAATAAAAGAAAAATACAGGTTTTAATCCCACCAAATTACAAAATAGTCCCTAGTTTACAAAAGAGTAAATTATTAGACACAATTTTATATACTAATTTTGGAACTTAAATGGAAATTTATTTATAACATGTATAGTTAAACGTGTATAAACGGGTTACGCGGGTTGAACCCCTCAACCCAAACACGACACAATTAATTAAACGAATTAATCATGCCGACTCGTTTATGATCCGAATCCGTTTAAAATCAATCAAAACCCGTTTAACTCGTGTCGTGTCAAAATTTGTCACCCCTATATAAAATATAGCTTGCACAAATTAATATATATATATATATATATATATATATATGTATGTATATACACAAATTGGATTGGTTTGTATTGCAAAATTTAGAAGTGATTTTTTAACAACCTTTCTTAGCCACAGTAGATGATTATTATACTGCAAAATTGGGTGAGAAACTCAATTTGCGAAATTTTGGTTGAGTTAGTTGCATGATGTCATCAGAGTTTGTGAGTGATTGGATTAGCGTACTAGATCAAAGCACTTGGTAAGTATGGATTAAGAAGCAACGGCCCCATTAAAACGGCCCAGACCACGACAAAGGGCAACCCAATCTTGCTGTTGTCCCCTATGATTCAACTTTCAAGTCTAAGTTGTATATAATATGTGTGTAAACAAGGTCCAGATAATTGGATAATAAACTGTGAGACACAGTCCAAACAGAGAATTTAAACTGTCCAGAAAGACCTGCCCAATTTGAAGCCCAAAATGACCCGTCCAAAATAAACGACAATGACTGGTCCCTTTTGGTGCAACATGTTGAATATTTGTCATGGTACTTAGGAAAAAAAAAAAAAAAAAGTGAGCTTGGTTGAAGACAGACCCAACAAAGATCAGCCTAGTGAATATTTGTCATGGTACCAAGGAAAAGAATAAAAAATAATAATTGCACCTATTTAAGGTCTTGACAAACGGCAATGACAGCTACCAAGAAAGAAAGAAAAAAAAGAAGTGAGCATGGTTGAAGACAATTCCAACAATGATCAGCACTGTAGTATAGTTTTATAATTTAAACTGCAACGTGGCGGCGTCCATTCACAATCGAAGGTAATTTAAAAATACTAATCATTTTTATACTCATATATAGTGTAGAACTGTAGATGATTTCATACCTCCCTCCCAATTTGGCACCTTGAGGAATCCAAAGTAATTTATGTGATGATGTTTAATCCCTAATTGAGATTAACATGATTGTATAATTAATTGTTGAAATCTTACCTTGGTAAGATAATTTTAGTGGCCTAATTTCGATTTTTGTATATACGCTCAGCTTTCCAAGTACTGGAAAGAGATACTGAACAAATTAGGGCATAATCAAATTGGTACATGTGTCCATCCTTTGTTGCAACCACCCTGATAATAGGAAATCACATTCAACTAAATACATTTTTTTAAATAGATTGAGAGCTAGATTTATTTTATTCAAATAAATAAAATAAAATAAATCAAGCCAAGTATCAAAGCATTCCAAACATGCACCACCAAAATTCCTATATACAACAAACACACCCAGAAATTCAAATTAACATAAAACTACTTATAAAAAATCATCCTATATCAACCTATTAAACACCGATACCTATAGATACAAGTACCTACTCCTCACTTCCTGCCCTCTCTACTCTTCTCTTTGTGTTTGTTGGGGTTTGACACTCATCGTTGGTGTATTGCATAATCCCGTCATTTGGATCAACTTCCATTATGTGGTTGTGTAAGAAACACCATGCTAGTACCACATTAACTTGGGTTGGATGGTCCCAAAAAGGCTCGGCATCAAACACACGGAAATGTTTCTTTACTCCACCAAAATCACGTTCAATGGAGGTCCGTAAAGAAGAGTGTCGAAGATTGAGCAACTCTCTTTCATTTTCCGGAGGACGGTTACTATATTCTTTCAAATGACATCAAACGCCACGATATGGGGGAATAAATCAATTTTGAATGTCGCATTTACCTACAAATTAAATGTTAAATCGTTATGATTAATTTCTCATCCACGATTATACTCTAAGAAACAACCCAAAGTTAACATTGGCAACCAAAAGAATAGATATAATTCAGAACTAACAGTCCATTAAATAAGTTCATGTTATGAAGTTAATCAGATTATCACATACAAGTCCAAGTTAGTTACTGTACAGCTCACTAAACAGGCAACAAGTAACAGTTCACAAATGAATATATAGTACACATGGAGCAGACATTGATGAAAGAACAGTAAATTAAAGAGAAGCTCGAAATTATGCTTTCTTTGCTTGTGATTTTATCGAGCCTATAGGTCAAATGAATCAACAAAGTTTAAAGCCCAAATGATACAAGACATCTAAGTCTATAAAGATGCTTTCAGTAAAACTAAGCATAGGTGTAACATGTGAAGAATTATTGATATGAGCAGTCCATTGTTTACTATCAAGAAAAGCACAAGGAGATCCCAAAATGCTACGACATTGAATGAAACAGTCCATACAATGGGTGCAAAACTATTTAAAAGAACTCATTGCCAAGTGTTTTATTTAGATTCTAAATCTGTTTTATGGTAAGTATTCTGAACATAAATTACATAGAAAAAAGAATACTACAAAACTGTTAACAAGGATAGAAACTGTTAACAAGGATACAACATTAGAATTTGTTGGATAATCAATTCAAACTAGTTGCCAATGGTTCAATTAATTTTGCATTTCGTAAAAAATGAAACTTAAAAAAATATAAATGCAACTATTTGAACCCTTTTGCTGCAGAACACAGCCGTTAGCCTTGCTTGGACTCCTAGAGGTTGTAATAGCTCTGCCCATACTCCTGGAAAATGGGTTCTCAATTGCAAATCAAGTGTTTCAGAGTGGTCTCACAAGCCCAGTTGGCTTGTTAACCTTTGTAACCTTGATTCTTTATCAGTTGAACGATATCCTAGCTTTGATTTCCAAAAAAAAAAAAACCCTTTTACTAAGGAATATGAAAGACATAAACATAACCAGAATTTTATAAGATTTCGGGTTCAAGAGTGTGTGGGATTCTCAATCCCAAAGCAATTAAATCTGATATTGGTCAGACTCTGACCGATATTGCTGATACATATTTTTATATCTCACAATCCCAAATCTTACAGGCTCAACACACAAGGAAATTACAGGAATTGGGAACTAATCTAGGACACAACTTGATGCTTGCAGGCACTAACAATCATGAAATGAGTTGAACCAAAACTAACTATGAACTCATGTTTAAAGAGAGACTATTCTCCCAAACTTAATGAGTGCTTAGCAATAGAGTGTATAAGAATTAATAAAAGATTAATTCTTCTAAACAGAAATATATGTATATATATCTCCCATACATAAATATATGTATATATATCTCAAAAAATGGGATGTATAGAGAGAGATGAGAAACTGGTACCCAAAACAGAAGAGAGAATGGAGGGGAACTGAGTCCGAGACTGAAATAACTATGGTATTCTGAGTTCCAATGGATGAAATCTGGATACCAACAACAAATCTGAATGCAAATGAAATCAAAACCTTTAAGAGTTAGATATATATATATACACACACACAGATATATACAAGTATATAGAGATTATACCTTCAAATTTTCTTGTAGGGTTCCACAATGGCGAAGAAGAGTGTTGACGTGTAGGTACGTTCTATGGTCTAGAGTTTCACACTAGATAGAGAGACGAATAGAGATTTCACAATGAGAAGGGGGGGGGGGGGGGGGGCGAAGGAGGTTGAGGTCGTCGGGGCCTGTGGTGGAGGCTGAGCTCAATGATACAATTCAATCGGGTTGAGTCTGTAAAATAACTTCCCCAAAATGCAGACACAAGTTGTTTTTGTAACCTATTGATAAAATATTTTACTAGGTAAAAAATTTAAATCGATTTTGGGTCAACCAAACACCAAAAAAATAAAAATAAAAATAATTTCAAAAAAATATTTTACTCGCAAACATACAGAGCCTAAGTTTTTGGAATTTTTATGTTTTGGAGTAATCTAATCCAAAATTAAACAGAGATTAACTTTATTTTTTGCTTGATTTTTCTAACCTAAGCTCAAATCGAAAGTAAAATTTTTAACGTAGATTTCTATCTATATATAAACTCACATGTATGTGTGTAACAGTGTAAAGGCCTTTGTCTACAAAAAGTGAAACTTAAAAAAACATAAATGCAACTATTTCAACCCTTTTGCTACGGACATCGGATTTTTGCTGCAGAACACAGCCGTTAGCCTTGTTTGGACTCCTAGAGGTTGTAATAGCACTGCCCATGCTCTTGGCAAATGGGTTCTCAATTGCAAATCAAGTGTTTCAGAGTGTCTCACAAGCCCAGTTGGCTTGTTAACCTTTGTAACCTTGATTCTTTATCAGTTGAAGGATATCCTAGCTTTGATTTCCAAAAAAAAAAAACCCTTTTACTAAGGAATATGAAGGACATAAACATAACCAGAATTTTATAAGATTTTGGGTTCAAGAGTGTGTGGGATTCTCAATCCCAAAGCAATTAAATCTGATATTGGTCAGACTCTGACCGATATTGCTGATACATATTTTTATATCTCACAATCCCAAATCTTACAGACTCAACACACAAGGAAATTACAGGAATTGGGAACTAATCTAGGACTAAACTTGATGCTTGCAGGCACTAACAATCATGAAATGAGTTGAACCAAAACTAACTATGAACTCATGTTTAAAGAGAGACTATTCTCCCAAACTTAATGAGTGCTTAGCAATAGAGTGTATAAGAATTAATAAAAGATTAATTCTTCTAAACAGAAATATATGTATATATATCTCCCATACATAAATATATGTATATATATCTCAAAAAATGGGATGTATAGAGAGAGATGAGAAACTGGTACCCAAAACAGAAGAGAGAATGGAGGGGAACTGAGTCCGAGACTGAAATAACTATGGTATTCTGAGTTCCAATGGATGAAATCTGGATACCAACAACGAATCTGAATGCAAATGAAATCAAAACCTTTAAGAGTTAGATATATATATATACACACACACAGATATATACAAGTATATAGAGATTATACCTTCAAATTTTCTTGTAGGGTTCCACAATGGCGAAGAAGAGTGTTGACGGGTAGGTACGTTCTATGGTCTAGAGTTTCACACTAGATAGAGAGACGAATAGAGATTTCACAATGAGAAGAGGGGGGGGGGGGGGGGGGGGGGGGGGCGAAGGAGGTTGAGGTCGTCGGGGCCTGTGGTGGAGGCTGAGCTCAATGATACAATTCAATCGGGTTGTGTCTGTAAAATAACTTCCCCAAAATGCAGACACAAGTTGTTTTTGTAACCTATTGATAAAATATTTTACTAGGTAAAAAATTTAAATCGATTTTGGGTCAACCAAACACCAAAAAAATAAAAATAAAAATAATTTCAAAAAAATATTTTACTCGCAAACATACAGAGCCTAAGTTTTTGGAATTTTTATGTTTTGGAGTAATCTAATCCAAAATTAAACAGAGATTAACTTTATTTTTTGCTTGATTTTTCTAACCTAAGCTCAAATCGAAAGTAAAATTTTTAACGTAGATTTCTATCTATATATAAACTCACATGTATGTGTGTAACAGTGTAAAGGCCTTTGTCTACAAAAAGTGAAACTTAAAAAAACATAAATGCAACTATTTCAACCCTTTTGCTACGGACATCGGATTTTTGCTGCAGAACACAGCCGTTAGCCTTGTTTGGACTCCTAGAGGTTGTAATAGCACTGCCCATGCTCTTGGCAAATGGGTTCTCAATTGCAAATCAAGTGTTTCAGAGTGTCTCACAAGCCCAGTTGGCTTGTTAACCTTTGTAACCTTGATTCTTTATCAGTTGAAGGATATCCTAGCTTTGATTTCCAAAAAAAAAAAACCCTTTTACTAAGGAATATGAAGGACATAAACATAACCAGAATTTTATAAGATTTTGGGTTCAAGAGTGTGTGGGATTCTCAATCCCAAAGCAATTAAATCTGATATTGGTCAGACTCTGACCGATATTGCTGATACATATTTTTATATCTCACAATCCCAAATCTTACAGACTCAACACACAAGGAAATTACAGGAATTGGGAACTAATCTAGGACTAAACTTGATGCTTGCAGGCACTAACAATCATGAAATGAGTTGAACCAAAACTAACTATGAACTCATGTTTAAAGAGAGACTATTCTCCCAAACTTAATGAGTGCTTAGCAATAGAGTGTATAAGAATTAATAAAAGATTAATTCTTCTAAACAGAAATATATGTATATATATCTCCCATACATAAATATATGTATATATATCTCAAAAAATGGGATGTATAGAGAGAGATGAGAAACTGGTACCCAAAACAGAAGAGAGAATGGAGGGGAACTGAGTCCGAGACTGAAATAACTATGGTATTCTGAGTTCCAATGGATGAAATCTGGATACCAACAACGAATCTGAATGCAAATGAAATCAAAACCTTTAAGAGTTAGATATATATATATACACACACACAGATATATACAAGTATATAGAGATTATACCTTCAAATTTTCTTGTAGGGTTCCACAATGGCGAAGAAGAGTGTTGACGGGTAGGTACGTTCTATGGTCTAGAGTTTCACACTAGATAGAGAGACGAATAGAGATTTCACAATGAGAAGGGGGGGGGGGGGGGGGGGGGGGGGGGGTGCGGCGAAGGAGGTTGAGGTCGTCGGGGCCTGTGGTGGAGGCTGAGCTCAATGATACAATTCAATCGGGTTGTGTCTGTAAAATAACTTCCCCAAAATGCAGACACAAGTTGTTTTTGTAACCTATTGATAAAATATTTTACTAGGTAAAAAATTTAAATCGATTTTGGGTCAACCAAACACCAAAAAAATAAAAATAAAAATAATTTCAAAAAAATATTTTACTCGCAAACATACAGAGCCTAAGTTTTTGGAATTTTTATGTTTTGGAGTAATCTAATCCAAAATTAAACAGAGATTAACTTTATTTTTTGCTTGATTTTTCTAACCTAAGCTCAAATCGAAAGTAAAATTTTTAACGTAGATTTCTATCTATATATAAACTCACATGTATGTGTGTAACAGTGTAAAGGCCTTTGTCTACAAAAAGTGAAACTTAAAAAAACATAAATGCAACTATTTCAACCCTTTTGCTACGGACATCGGATTTTTGCTGCAGAACACAGCCGTTAGCCTTGTTTGGACTCCTAGAGGTTGTAATAGCACTGCCCATGCTCTTGGCAAATGGGTTCTCAATTGCAAATCAAGTGTTTCAGAGTGTCTCACAAGCCCAGTTGGCTTGTTAACCTTTGTAACCTTGATTCTTTATCAGTTGAAGGATATCCTAGCTTTGATTTCCAAAAAAAAAAAAAAAAAAAAAAACCCTTTTACTAAGGAATATGAAGGACATAAACATAACCAGAATTTTATAAGATTTTGGGTTCAAGAGTGTGTGGGATTCTCAATCCCAAAGCAATTAAATCTGATATTGGTCAGACTCTGACCGATATTGCTGATACATATTTTTATATCTCACAATCCCAAATCTTACAGACTCAACACACAAGGAAATTACAGGAATTGGGAACTAATCTAGGACTAAACTTGATGCTTGCAGGCACTAACAATCATGAAATGAGTTGAACCAAAACTAACTATGAACTCATGTTTAAAGAGAGACTATTCTCCCAAACTTAATGAGTGCTTAGCAATAGAGTGTATAAGAATTAATAAAAGATTAATTCTTCTAAACAGAAATATATGTATATATATCTCCCATACATAAATATATGTATATATATCTCAAAAAATGGGATGTATAGAGAGAGATGAGAAACTGGTACCCAAAACAGAAGAGAGAATGGAGGGGAACTGAGTCCGAGACTGAAATAACTATGGTATTCTGAGTTCCAATGGATGAAATCTGGATACCAACAACGAATCTGAATGCAAATGAAATCAAAACCTTTAAGAGTTAGATATATATATATACACACACACAGATATATACAAGTATATAGAGATTATACCTTCAAATTTTCTTGTAGGGTTCCACAATGGCGAAGAAGAGTGTTGACGGGTAGGTACGTTCTATGGTCTAGAGTTTCACACTAGATAGAGAGACGAATAGAGATTTCACAATGAGAAGGGGGGGGGGGGGGGGGGGGGGGGGGCGGCGAAGGCGGCGAAGGAGGTTGAGGTCGTCGGGGCCTGTGGTGGAGGCTGAGCTCAATGATACAATTCAATCGGGTTGTGTCTGTAAAATAACTTCCCCAAAATGCAGACACAAGTTGTTTTTGTAACCTATTGATAAAATATTTTACTAGGTAAAAAATTTAAATCGATTTTGGGTCAACCAAACACCAAAAAAATAAAAATAAAAATAATTTCAAAAAAATATTTTACTCGCAAACATACAGAGCCTAAGTTTTTGGAATTTTTATGTTTTGGAGTAATCTAATCCAAAATTAAACAGAGATTAACTTTATTTTTTGCTTGATTTTTCTAACCTAAGCTCAAATCGAAAGTAAAATTTTTAACGTAGATTTCTATCTATATATAAACTCACATGTATGTGTGTAACAGTGTAAAGGCCTTTGTCTACAAAAAGTGAAACTTAAAAAAACATAAATGCAACTATTTCAACCCTTTTGCTACGGACATCGGATTTTTGCTGCAGAACACAGCCGTTAGCCTTGTTTGGACTCCTAGAGGTTGTAATAGCACTGCCCATGCTCTTGGCAAATGGGTTCTCAATTGCAAATCAAGTGTTTCAGAGTGTCTCACAAGCCCAGTTGGCTTGTTAACCTTTGTAACCTTGATTCTTTATCAGTTGAATGATATCCTAGCTTTGATTTCCAAAAAAAAAAAAAAAAAACCCTTTTACTAAGGAATATGAAGGACATAAACATAACCAGAATTTTATAAGATTTTGGGTTCAAGAGTGTGTGGGATTCTCAATCCCAAAGCAATTAAATCTGATATTGGTCAGACTCTGACCGATATTGCTGATACATATTTTTATATCTCACAATCTCAAATCTTACAGACTCAACACACAAGGAAATTACAGGAATTGGGAACTAATCTAGGACTAAACTTGATGCTTGCAGGCACTAACAATCATGAAATGAGTTGAACCAAAACTAACTATGAACTCATGTTTAAAGAGAGACTATTCTCCCAAACTTAATGAGTGCTTAGCAATAGAGTGTATAAGAATTAATAAAAGATTAATTCTTCTAAACAGAAATATATGTATATATATCTCCCATACATAAATATATGTATATATATCTCAAAAAATGGGATGTATAGAGAGAGATGAGAAACTGGTACCCAAAACAGAAGAGAGAATGGAGGGGAACTGAGTCCGAGACTGAAATAACTATGGTATTCTGAGTTCCAATGGATGAAATCTGGATACCAACAACAAATCTGAATGCAAATGAAATCAAAACCTTTAAGAGTTAGATATATATATATACACACACACAGATATATACAAGTATATAGAGATTATACCTTCAAATTTTCTTGTAGGGTTCCACAATGGCGAAGAAGAGTGTTGACGGGTAGGTACGTTCTATGGTCTAGAGTTTCACACTAGATAGAGAGACGAATAGAGATTTCACAATGAGAAGGGGGGGGGGGGCGAAGGAGGTTGAGGTCGTCGGGGCCTGTGGTGGAGGCTGAGCTCAATGATACAATTCAATCGGGTTGTGTCTGTAAAATAACTTCCCCAAAATGCAGACACAAGTTGTTTTTGTAACCTATTGATAAAATATTTTACTAGGTAAAAAATTTAAATCGATTTTGGGTCAACCAAACACCAAAAAAATAAAAATAAAAATAATTTCAAAAAAATATTTTACTCGCAAACATACAGAGCCTAAGTTTTTGGAATTTTTATGTTTTGGAGTAATCTAATCCAAAATTAAACAGAGATTAACTTTATTTTTTGCTTGATTTTTCTAACCTAAGCTCAAATCGAAAGTAAAATTTTTAACGTAGATTTCTATCTATATATAAACTCACATGTATGTGTGTAACAGTGTAAAGGCCTTTGTCTACAAAAAGTGAAACTTAAAAAAACATAAATGCAACTATTTCAACCCTTTTGCTACGGACATCGGATTTTTGCTGCAGAACACAGCCGTTAGCCTTGTTTGGACTCCTAGAGGTTGTAATAGCACTGCCCATGCTCTTGGCAAATGGGTTCTCAATTGCAAATCAAGTGTTTCAGAGTGTCTCACAAGCCCAGTTGGCTTGTTAACCTTTGTAACCTTGATTCTTTATCAGTTGAAGGATATCCTAGCTTTGATTTCCAAAAAAAAAAAAAAAAAACCCTTTTACTAAGGAATATGAAGGACATAAACATAACCAGAATTTTATAAGATTTTGGGTTCAAGAGTGTGTGGGATTCTCAATCCCAAAGCAATTAAATCTGATATTGGTCAGACTCTGACCGATATTGCTGATACATATTTTTATATCTCACAATCCCAAATCTTACAGACTCAACACACAAGGAAATTACAGGAATTGGGAACTAATCTAGGACTAAACTTGATGCTTGCAGGCACTAACAATCATGAAATGAGTTGAACCAAAACTAACTATGAACTCATGTTTAAAGAGAGACTATTCTCCCAAACTTAATGAGTGCTTAGCAATAGAGTGTATAAGAATTAATAAAAGATTAATTCTTCTAAACAGAAATATATGTATATATATCTCCCATACATAAATATATGTATATACATCTCAAAAAATGGGATGTATAGAGAGAGATGAGAAACTGGTACCCAAAACAGAAGAGAGAATGGAGGGGAACTGAGTCCGAGACTGAAATAACTATGGTATTCTGAGTTCCAATGGATGAAATCTGGATACCAACAACGAATCTGAATGCAAATGAAATCAAAACCTTTAAGAGTTAGATATATATATATACACACACACAGATATATACAAGTATATAGAGATTATACCTTCAAATTTTCTTGTAGGGTTCCACAATGGCGAAGAAGAGTGTTGACGGGTAGGTACGTTCTATGGTCTAGAGTTTCACACTAGATAGAGAGACGAATAGAGATTTCACAATGAGAAGGGGGGGGGGGGGGGGGGGGCGAAGGAGGTTGAGGTCGTCGGGGCCTGTGGTGGAGGCTGAGCTCAATGATACAATTCAATCGGGTTGTGTCTGTAAAATAACTTCCCCAAAATGCAGACACAAGTTGTTTTTGTAACCTATTGATAAAATATTTTACTAGGTAAAAAATTTAAATCGATTTTGGGTCAACCAAACACCAAAAAAATAAAAATAAAAATAATTTCAAAAAAATATTTTACTCGCAAACATACAGAGCCTAAGTTTTTGGAATTTTTATGTTTTGGAGTAATCTAATCCAAAATTAAACAGAGATTAACTTTATTTTTTGCTTGATTTTTCTAACCTAAGCTCAAATCGAAAGTAAAATTTTTAACGTAGATTTCTATCTATATATAAACTCACATGTATGTGTGTAACAGTGTAAAGGCCTTTGTCTACAAAAAGTGAAACTTAAAAAAACATAAATGCAACTATTTCAACCCTTTTGCTACGGACATCGGATTTTTGCTGCAGAACACAGCCGTTAGCCTTGTTTGGACTCCTAGAGGTTGTAATAGCACTGCCCATGCTCTTGGCAAATGGGTTCTCAATTGCAAATCAAGTGTTTCAGAGTGTCTCACAAGCCCAGTTGGCTTGTTAACCTTTGTAACCTTGATTCTTTATCAGTTGAAGGATATCCTAGCTTTGATTTCCAAAAAAAAAAAACCCTTTTACTAAGGAATATGAAGGACATAAACATAACCAGAATTTTATAAGATTTTGGGTTCAAGAGTGTGTGGGATTCTCAATCCCAAAGCAATTAAATCTGATATTGGTCAGACTCTGACCGATATTGCTGATACATATTTTTATATCTCACAATCCCAAATCTTACAGACTCAACACACAAGGAAATTACAGGAATTGGGAACTAATCTAGGACTAAACTTGATGCTTGCAGGCACTAACAATCATGAAATGAGTTGAACCAAAACTAACTATGAACTCATGTTTAAAGAGAGACTATTCTCCCAAACTTAATGAGTGCTTAGCAATAGAGTGTATAAGAATTAATAAAAGATTAATTCTTCTAAACAGAAATATATGTATATATATCTCCCATACATAAATATATGTATATATATCTCAAAAAATGGGATGTATAGAGAGAGATGAGAAACTGGTACCCAAAACAGCAGAGAGAATGGAGGGGAACTGAGTCCGAGACTGAAATAACTATGGTATTCTGAGTTCCAATGGATGAAATCTGGATACCAACAACGAATCTGAATGCAAATGAAATCAAAACCTTTAAGAGTTAGATATATATATATACACACACACAGATATATACAAGTATATAGAGATTATACCTTCAAATTTTCTTGTAGGGTTCCACAATGGCGAAGAAGAGTGTTGACGGGTAGGTACGTTCTATGGTCTAGAGTTTCACACTAGATAGAGAGACGAATAGAGATTTCACAATGAGAAGGGGGGGGGGGGGGGGGGGGCGAAGGAGGTTGAGGTCGTCGGGGCCTGTGGTGGAGGCTGAGCTCAATGATACAATTCAATCGGGTTGTGTCTGTAAAATAACTTCCCCAAAATGCAGACACAAGTTGTTTTTGTAACCTATTGATAAAATATTTTACTAGGTAAAAAATTTAAATCGATTTTGGGTCAACCAAACACCAAAAAAATAAAAATAAAAATAATTTCAAAAAAATATTTTACTCGCAAACATACAGAGCCTAAGTTTTTGGAATTTTTATGTTTTGGAGTAATCTAATCCAAAATTAAACAGAGATTAACTTTATTTTTTGCTTGATTTTTCTAACCTAAGCTCAAATCGAAAGTAAAATTTTTAACCTAGATTTCTATCTATATATAAACTCACATGTATGTGTGTAACAGTGTAAAGGCCTTTGTCTACAAAAAGTGAAACTTAAAAAAACATAAATGCAACTATTTCAACCCTTTTGCTACGGACATCGGATTTTTGCTGCAGAACACAGCCGTTAGCCTTGTTTGGACTCCTAGAGGTTGTAATAGCACTGCCCATGCTCTTGGCAAATGGGTTCT